TTTCCCCTCCTACCCTTTGTCTTCTCTGTTTAGGTTATCAGCTTCTTGAAGCAGGAACTGTGTCTCTTGCTGTGTGTCTGTACTAAGGTTGTAATAGTGTAGTTGATTAACCGATAAGCAAAAGTGTATAGGTTATTGCTATAGACTACACGCGTTTCTCTCCTTGCCCCTTGCCAGTACATTTTTTAGCAGGCTGGCCAGCAGCCCAGCTCTGTTCTGGCTTGCAGCAGGCCTGGGAGCTCAGCCCTCCCCCAGAAAAGAGCTGCTGCCACTCCAAGGCAGCAGTGTTGGGCAACAGGCATCTAGTACCCAATGAGAGCTGATTTTTAAACTGCCCCCCTTGCAGACCAGCTCCTGCCTGGCACCAGTGGCACGGGGCTCCTTGGGATTGGGGTCGGAGCGCGCTGGCTGCCAGCCCTGCTCCTGGGAGCTACAGAATAGTCAACTAATTGATACGAATTCATAAGGTTACTAGACTATTCAATTAACCGATATTTAACATCCCAAGTCTGTACTATGTGGAGCCCTGATATTGGCTTGGGACTGTAAGTGCTACCATAACCCAAATAAATATTTGGCCCATGGTATACTTCAGTGACTCTCAAGCAGGTGTATGAAGAGGTCTTCTAGGGGGTACATTAACTCATCTAGATATTGGTCTAGTTTTACAACAGGCTTCATAAAAAACACTAGCAAAGTTGGTACAAACTGAAATTTGATGCAGACACTGACTTGCTTATACTACTGTGTATACTATAGACTGAAATGTAAGTACAGTGTTTATATTTCAATCAATGTATTTTATAATTATCTAGTAAAAACAAGAAAGTTAGCAAGTTTTCAGTAATAGTGTGCTGTGCCTCTCTCATATTTTTTTGGCTAATTTTTTTTAAGTGAGGTGAAACTTTGGGGCATGGAAGACAAATCTTACATCTGAAAGGGATACAGTAGTCTGGAAAGCTTGAGGACCTCAACTATACCCTGTTGTATTTGTTCTGTTTAGGGTGAGAATGCCACCCATTCCCCAGTAAAAAATACTTGTGTGTGACATTTATGTTATCTCTGAGGGGGAACAACTAAGAGCTGAAGCACAACGTATCAGTTAAGTAGACTGGCCTTCAGAAGCCAGCCAAAAGAATGTTATAATTAGTCTGCTTCCATGGCAAGATAAATGCCAATTCTATTAGTGTAGTGCAGAGTTTTCAACATTTTTGCTAAAAATGAGCAACTCACCACCTGCTGGGTGGCACCTCATTTTAACTGCAAAATATATTTATATATGAATCTGTCTACTTATAGCTATTGCTGCTTTGATCGGCTTTTTTGCAGTTACATGATGCTTTTGAATTTAGTGTGTGTCTGTCTGTCTGTCTTAAGAGATTCTGAGGAACTTCCACTCCCATGGAAGTCTGAGAAAATTGGGATTGATTAGTACCATTCAGAATCAGGCTCCTTACTGGTGGTCAGTAAATATGCTATCATGCATTAAAATTTCCTTCTTTTTGTCACGTGAGCTACCTTGGTCCAAGCGTGCCTCTGGTGCAACTCTACTAAAGGCTTCAGGATTGCAGAAAGAAAAAATTTAGAGCCAATATTATCATGGTATGTCTTTATAATGAAAATATGGTGAATAAAAGTCAATTTATTATTATATTAAGTTACAACATTTTCTTATTGAAGGATTAGGATTTTTTAAAAATTTTAAATTAAATACTGTTTATCTTTTTAAAAATAAGCCTATTTAAAATAAAAAATGAAATTATGACACCCTATGTAAAGGCCTAAAAGTCATATAATAAACTAATTAATTCATTTTTTTCCAAAATTTAAATAAAGGGGCTGCTTTTAAAATTATATACAAGATAAGGTGGAAAAATCTTAACTTTTGAGGTAAATTCAAGCTATGTCACAACGTTTTGTACTGTGTTAAATAAGTATCTTTGTTATTTTCAGTCTTTATGATGGAGGGAATTCTGGTATTTACAGTTTTGCAGTATAAATACTGTGTTTTTGTTATGCAAAAAAGTTTTTACCTTAAAGTCTTTTGGTTTCATTATAATTGACAGATTCAGAGAGAATATCTTCTTGATTTGAAATAGTTAA